CGGGACCTAAATTCCGGTAAGAACCCGCGGGGAGGGACCTGTGGGAGGGATCTGAATTCAGGTAAAAAGCAAACCCAAATTCCGGTAAAAACCGGACCTGATTCCAGTAAAATCGGGACCTAAATTCCGGTAAGAACCCGCGGGGAGGGACCTGTGAGGGGGACCTGAATTCAGGTAAAAAGAAAACATACGGTCCCGGCCGGACCCAAATTCCGGTAAAAACCGGACCTGATTCCAGTAAAATCGGACCTGATTCCGGTAAAACTAATAAGGTTTAAATTACTATATGATAGAGAGGTTTAGGGGTGTTTTTTTTTTGAACTCCTTTTTCCGAAGCCCGAAGGTCCCCGAAAGGGGTTTAGGGTTTAGGGTCCGATATTGCATCGAAACATCGTCTTATCCCTGGCATCCAACCGGGTCGCAGGCTTTGCCGCCTTTGCGAGGCCACTGGTTGTCAGGGCCCCTCCTGCGTCCGAAAGCTGAAACAGCGGACCGAAGGATCACTCCCATCTAGGAGCTCCTTAAGTTGGGGCATATATTGCAGAAATCCCTATTCGCTGATCTGCTATTGGCAAGGAATTCCACATGTTTTTTCTCCCCGTATTTCTGGAAGTCCACCTTAGGGCCCCTAAAGCTCATCTGCCTTTTCGCGCTTTAGGGCTTGGGGCCCAAGAGTTTTGGTCGGGTTTCGGAGCCATTTCACCCAGCTGAAGGGGGCCTCCTCTTTGGGGGACGGTCGCAGCCGAGGTCTTCTAGGGGCCTGAAGAACTTGAATAGGGTGTTTGGGGTATAGTACTACAGTTGCAGATAAGAACCCTGGTGGATCCTATTGACTCTACTACTACTGGCCATGAAGCCAGCAACTCGACAACTGAAACTGCACTCAGGTTTCAAGATGTGAACTTTGAGGATATGGGGAGCGAAGCGACGTGATTGGCCTGGAAGAGCACGCAGGAATGGCTCAGACACCTAAACTAGAAAGATCAAACCATCAGATTCATTGCACTTCGAGCATTGCATGCGTAATGATATGGAACCACCCCAAGATAGCAAATCAAAAACAATCTCCGCCTTTGGCTTCGTTCTTGTGGTTTCCTGACTCCTTGTGATTGTGATAATGCTGCCTCTTGCCGAGATTGCTGAGTGTAGGGTTTGCTTGGTTCGCAATGTGGGGATTGGCCTGGAGTCTAGCTGAATTTGGGCTGACTTGCCCTGAATCCCGATAATTTGCAACACTCGACCAACTGTGCCGAAGTATACCTCAGCCCTAGCTGGATACCTTGTCCAAACGTGACCCTCCGCCCCGCCAAAGGACGTAAAACTCTTAGCATCTGGACTACCTCACGGCCAGCGTCCTTGTGGGCGTTCGCAGCTGTCACATTCGCCTCCCAAGGCTGCTTTACCAGGAATTTGTTCGCAACATGCATCGGCGACATGATTCTTAAGACCTCGATGCTTCATACCCTGAGCCCTAAATCCCTCCGGCTTCGAGACCTAGGTTTCATGACTTCGTCTTCGGACTCAGGATACACTTATACCCCGGCTGGAATGCCCAGTCTTCGAAGCTTCGTGTGCCAAAGCTGCAAGGAGGGCCTGCCTTTTGGTTTTGGGGGGTTGGGGGCTTCAAAGTAAAGCTCAGCGGCTAGGGTGTTGCATGTAATGCTTGGCTTTGTATGTAAAGTTTGCGGGTTACGGTTATACAGCCTGTCTTGTATCTGAAGGAAGCAAGTTGAAAGTTCGAGATTCTGGATGAACACTGGTTCCATGCCATGCTAGGCATGTCTCACCTACTGGAAAGTATTCCAAATCGCAGACAGGGCAGCTTTCAAAACTGAAACAGCCATCATGAGGACAAGGGTGCACGGTCTGATGCACAATGTATGAGAGCTTCTCTGACGCTAAAGATGGGCATAGCAAGACAACTGGCAGCCGATTACAATTTCTTAGATACTGTCCCGAGACCTCTTGCTCCTCACGGGTTCGCGAGGACGAAAGACACCCTGCGCTGATCCCTGAAGCGACTGCCAAGGTGCGCCGGTATTGCATGATGTCACGTCATCCGCTTTGGGTTATTCCGAACCCAAATGACGGCTCGGGCGCACCCTGCTCACGTTTGAAGGAGTCGTGGTGCTGTTGCTCAAGTTGGCCGCGGCGATCGCCTGAGTCACTGCCAAAGTTCCCTACTGAGACAACGGTTAGGAAGAGATTGCCAGCCTTCCCCCAAATCCAGAGATGGTATGGATGAAAGGCGGAGTCCCATCTCTCGACGAACCATGTTGCAGCAGCAGAAGCAGCTGAATTTGGAAACCCCCACCCCTGTGCACACCCTCCCAGTTGATGAGTCTGTGCTTCCTTTGGCGTCGTCATGGCGGCTTCTGAGGTTAAAAACCCAAACACCCTAAACCCTAAACCCTAAATCCCAAACCCTGTTACCCACTCTGGGCCCTCTTCAGGCCCTGGAGTCCTCAACTCTTCGTGTACACTGAGTTCGATCGAAGCTACGTGGGTCAGGTTTTGGGGGTGATTAGGGTTTAGGAAGAAGCTCGGAAGCAAAACGGCAAAGTCGCCCTTTTGAGGGTGCTCTCGCCGCAGGACTCGCAACTGAGGTGCCAAGCATTTGAGACTCTGCGGAGGCAGAGGCGGGAGATCTGATCTTGACTTCAAACGCCCCGAAAGCTTCAGAGGCTAGATCTACCCAACAAAAAATGCTACATCCATCCATATCCGGGCACAGCCCCCCCCCAACCCGCAAACTCCAAGTGCGAAGCCGTCGCATTTGGGTGCGGCAGTGGTGCTGCCTCCGATGCTGGAACTGAGGGTGTTAACACACGGAGCTGATGATTTCGGGCTTCGCGAAAGTGATGTTCACGACGCGCGACCTGGAAAGTTTAGACTTCGTAGATGAATTGTAACGTTTAGGGCGTGTTCTGATTTGGAGCTGCGATCTCGTGGGAGCTTGCTCTTTGCCAAACTGCAGGAATGCTTTAGAAGCTTCAACCTTGAACCCTAAACTCTGGTGGGAGGCTTTGGACCCATCAAGGTTTTCAACTCTTGGAGACACCGGGCTGGGTCAAAAAAAGTCAGGATGCTCGAAACTGACCCTTCAGTCGTCGACCTTTTGGCCTTAAGGTCTCGCAGGCCGCATCCTCATAATCTGGGAGTTTCAAACCCTAAACCCTAAACCCTAAACCCTAAACCCTAAACCCTAAACCCTAACCCATGAACCCTGAAGGATGGCATCCTTAACGCAAGGGTCAACAAGATGTGCACTCACGGTTAAGAAGGCCTTGACGAGCACGGAGGAGCTCGTGTCCACCTGACAACTCAAAAAGGTCTAAACCTAAGTGCTTTCTTGCTGCTCTTGAGACCTGGGGCCTTTCCAAACCTCGCATGACTCTCGGCAGCTTGCGCTCGCAACTTCGGAAACTTCCCTTCGGCATTGATTTCAACGCATCCAGCTTGTGACCTCGTTACATTGTTACATCATGCCACTTCCAAACATCCCAAGGCCTTGATGCTGAGCATAGAGTCCACTCTTGCCCCCTGCAGATTCACGATGGCGCCATTCCAGGCCTGTACGGCTTCGTCCGGCCGCGGCTTCGGGGAGGACTCGGTGGCAACCCATCCCGGAACAGCGCAAGACAACGCGGCACACCCCCGAACAAAGCAGCAATAGGAGGGCCCCTGCAGCTGTATACGCAAAAAATACAGCATCAATTGCCCTCTCACTGTATAGTAGGATCCTCGTTGCAGAAACCCGGGATTGGGTTGTATTTTTCGCAGATCCGGAATTCCCAACATGCCTCCACAGCTGCAGGGAAGCGTGCGACGTGCTTTGCAGTCGCCATGCCACCGCCGGCTTCAACTTTGGAAGCCCGTTACTGGCTGACTGTGGCAGGTTCAGCTTGCTGCCTACAAGCTCGAATCGGGATTTGTGTTCCGCTCTGGTTGCAGCCCTGCAATGGCGAAAGATCCTGACACTGTGGGCAAAGCTGCCTTCTTGGAAGGAGCTCACCCGACCCGCCATCACTTCAGCAGCCAAATGTCACCATCGCTCCAGTGTATTGTCATCTGCGCATCGCGACGGACCCTGCCGAGGAGAATGTGGCCCTCGACTTCGTGCATGACTGCTTCGTCGTTCACACGCTCCAGAGGAGTTTCTGCTTCGGGCATGTTCCACTGGAGGTGCCAAACCATGCTGTTCCTGATGACCTCACCGACGCAGCGGTTGTCATCCATACGGTACCAAGCACCTTGGAACTGCTCCCAAAATCTCTCGGAAGGCTGTGAACACGATGCAGATGGCAGGCTTGTCACCTCCCCACAAATTGCACAGTCGTCAAGGCAAGGGCGCAGCTGAACCTGGCAGAGCAACCCACACTTGCTAGAGTAGCAGATCTCTTGCATAAGCCATCCTCACTAGCAGTTTACACAGTTTACACGGCTTACCCAGTTTACACAGTGTTGCTGTCGTGCCAGCTGTCCTCCGTGTCGAGCGCATCGACGGGGTCCTGCACCCCATCCTGAGCATCGCGCAACTCCTTTACTCCCGCGACAGAGATCCCTAACGTTGCGACTGCAGTGGATTCCGTTTTTTGCGGTTGTCGTTGATGTTATAGTTGTCGTCGTCGTCGTCGTCGTCATCGTCCGCCGACGCTGCCGTCGTCGTCGACTTCGTCGTCCTCGCGGCTGCTATTGGTGATGGCAATGTTCTGATTACTATTGTTGTTGTTGGATGCGATTTTGGCTTGTGGTTGTGGTTGCTGCTGTGATTTTGGTTCTGGCAGCAGTCTCAGCAGCAGTAGCAGCAGTAGCAGCAGCAGCGGTAGCAGCAGCAGTAGCTGTAGCCGTAACCGTAGCCGTGGCAGTGGCCACAGCGTTGCAGTAGCAGTAGCAGCAGCAGTAGCAGTAATAGTAGCAATAGTCGTAATAGTAGTAGTAGAAGTACTAGTGGTAGTAATAGTACTAGTAGTAGTAGTAGTAGTAGTAGTAGTAGTAGTAGTAGTATTTCGAGGGCTTTACCTTGTAATTGATGGGCATCCTGACATTATTTGTACGGTTTGGGCTACACAGCCCCCTCTACCACGTCA